CTTTGAACCAAATATGAATCTTTTCATGTTTTCCCATCGATATAGAGGCAGACCTAAGACTAAAGCCCAGAACATTTGGGGGTACATTTTGGTAAACAGTAGCTCTAGTAATATATCAAAGGCTCTTTCAGTGAATATTTTGTATTGCCATACATGCCTATTGTTAGGAAATTACAGTGAGTAAAAACAGGAGTGTAGGATAATAGTAAAATTAACATTAAGAATGAATGTGATATTATTCCCTATAACAGAGGTGGGCAAACTACGGCCCGTGGGACCGTCCTGACCGGCCCTTTAGCTACCGGCCGGGGAGGCTCCCCCCAGCCTCTCCCCCGCTGTACCCCCCTCAAAGCCACCCGCCACCCCTTCCACCCACATCATACATCTCTGAGATAAAAGTGGTGGGTTTTTTTTGTTTTTTTTGGAGGATGAGGAGACTAGTGAAATGATTCAAACCTACCTGACTCATTTTACAATAAAAATGTACTGTATTTGCAGAGAATTCTTAGGTCCCCCTCTCCCAGACATTTTGTTGCAGAAGAAGGGTCTAGACGCCATTTCTTGTCAACTATTAGATTAGATTAGAGTAGCATGAGTTTCCAGGCCATCTTTGCAAAGAAAAAGATTAAAAGCATGCTTAAATAAGAAATCTGATTCTTCTTTAGAATTCCATTTATCAAAATCATCGGGCCATAGATCCCCATTTACTCTTTATATATTGTTCATTTATTTAGAAGTACTGTAGGGGGGGAGGCTTATGCAGTGTCAGACTCATGACTGATTCCTGGTTGAGCTGGAGAGGGAGATGTTTCACAAATATCACTAATAAGTTCCAGATGATGGAATAGGCAGTATGGGGAAAAAGCAAGTAGAACTTGTCATCCTATACCGGTGAATGGGAAAACCAGGCAGTCTGGCAGATATTTACAGTGTCTTGATACTTGTCAGAGTTGCTGCATAAAGCAAAAATTATAGAGACGGGCAGATCCTCAGCTGGATCTTCACTGAACCTATGTCAGTTTACACCAGCTGACGATCCACCTTGTATTGTTCTGTAAGTGAAGCTGTGTTTTGCGACAAGCATATTTTTTGAGAGAAATAGACAGTGATCACACCTGCATATTTAGTAGAGTTACAGAGGCAAATGCTGTGCAATCCTTTAAGCCCAATTTCGTGGAGAGATGTGAAGCACTGTTTACAGCACTAGTGCTGCGGCTGACACAACTATCACTAATAACCCAGCAATAAATGTGGAACATTTTTAAATTTGTGGCACTAATCATCTCCATTACAGCCAGAGTGCAGCTGGAATATTGACCGGACTTAATTTATTGCTCTTTTCACACATGAATAGAATTCTACCTGAACATTATTTTGGCAGGCAAATTCTTTTCTATCATATAAGAAATGGCCAGATGTTCACTACCTGGTTTGGTGATGGATTTATGTAATTTGAAAAAAACATAAAAAATACAGCTTACTGGTGCCAGATTCTTTAAAGCAATTTTCGAGTCAATAGAAAGATTCCTCATTAGAGATGTGTGGGAACCGGATATACCATTTTGCTGGAAATGTCAAGAGTTTGAAATTTATTTCCTGTTTCAGAACAAAACTATTCAAAATTCCCAG